GCCAGGCTGGCATCCCTCCTGCAAGCGGTGACACTTGCCCTTGGCACAGCATCCCCTCCCCTTCCCCTGGCCTCTATCCAGCTCCTCGTCTCCAGGCCCATCCTTGACTCAAAACCTCACGTGCGCTGGCTCCACTCCTACAGCTGACTGGCTTTCCCTCGGCTATACACACTTGTAATTCATGACAGTACTAAAACAAGTCAACAGCAGAAGAAAAGGGGTCAAAGTAGCTGGTTATGAATATTTCTCTTAATTCTAATCAAGTCTCAGGTGGAAGATCATTTTGTCTTCCAATCCTGTTCTATTTTCTTTTCCTGTATCCACAGCATCTGACACCCTACTACCAGACTACCAAGAAGCATACCTAATTTTCAACACTGAGCCCTTGGAGCCACTCCAACTTTCTCAACCCTCCTTCTGCTTTTAGACAAGTTTCCCCACAGATGGATCAAATGTCAAAGTTCTGGGCTACCAATAACAGAAGAACACGCAGAACCCTTTTTTCTCTTTCTTGCCTCCTCTGGCACCTCACAATTAGTTTTCAACAAAAATAAACAGAATTACAGGAAAATGCTGCAGGAGAGAACTGGCAGCATGAATGCCTCTGCAGACTTCACCAGAGCTGTAAGTCTTTGAGTCTTCCTGTCCGCTGATCTTGTATAAGCCAGAAACATGAGTTATACACAGGTAGGAGGGCATTTTAATTTTGTTATCTATCTGGCTCATTGGGAAGCACCTCCACCTCTGAAATCAGGAGGTGGTGTGTTGTGTACATTGCAATGAGGTTTGGGCACTTGCCCAGTGATAGCACTGTACTGCAGAACGATGAGAAAGGGACTTGTAGTGCTTAGAAAAAGAGCTGATGGTGCATTTCAGAGAACAATATTCTGATGTTCACGCCTTCTCTCAAAACAGATTCTTGTTTAAAATGCTGATCAAGTTGAACAACATAGAGATTTAAAATAAATGCTCCCACAAAATTTGAAAATCTGAAATCTTAAGCATGAAGATTTGAAAATTAATAGATATAAATCTATACATATATATACAAGTATCTGTATGCACCTATAAACAGAAATTTACAGATATACATATGCAGACATTGATGGAAAGGGAATCACAAAATAATAGTGTAAACATCTGAAAGAAAAGGGCGTGGAGTGGTCCTAGGATGTCTTTAACTCATTTCCACTCCCTGCCAAACCCTCGATAATTTAAGCTAAATAGCTAATCAAATGAGATCAAACGGATAATGCCACCCTCGTTGGGAGTTCTGCAGCAAAACTCAGTGAGCTTTATCCCTTTCGGAAAGGGAAGGTCCATCTCCTGTGGACTAGATGATGGCACTTAGGTTGCCATGCTAACAGGCCCTCCAACAGTGGGACAATTGCTTTTCTAAGATCAGAAGAAAAGCTGAATTTACTGCATAAAATGCAGTAAATTAATGTATCAGAGATTTAAGAATGAAGCATAATATTGCTTCCTAGAAAATATCTGAGCCAACCACTTCACTCATGAAGGACAGCGCTTTGCATGTTTCCTCTTATTTAATCCTCAACAAGTCTGCTAATGAGAACCTCCTGCTCATTCACAGTGGTAGTGCTGCTAACAGTGTATGAACTCCGTCTTCCTCTCCAGTTGCTACACAAACTCTATCTAGGTCCAATTCAGGAAAGACCTTTTCTACACATAGCACAGAGAGACGACGACCGTCACCCAGGTTCACACAGTGCATTTGCAATGCAGAAACCGTATGACCAAAGGAGTGTTTCCTCTCTGATATGCATTACAGAACACACCAAAACTTTGTTATCATCAGCTCTGTCATTGCTTGCTCATTCCCTTAGTTTATTTACATTTCCCCAAAATTCCTGACCGTCTGAACTTGGTTAGTCAAAATGACTGGTGGACTCATAAATTTTGGTAGCTCATTGATCATTCCTCATTATGAAGCAGCAATGAAAGCTCTTAAACTCTGGGCTTACCCCATACCAGGCTACTTTAACTCATTCTTGATCTTTAAAATGGGAGCCCCCTTCCTGGCTGTGTCTTCTATTAACATTACATGATGGGAGAGGGAAGCATAGATTGTCTACAGCTATTTCTAAATGACCTGTTAGCGCAGACTCCCAGTCTTGCTGGAAGGCTGTCAGTGTGAGCACACAAAAAAGTTGAACTGTCAGTGACATTGCTATTTTAGCAAAAAAAAAAAGTATATCTGAGGTGGTATATCAGCACACATACAGAGAGCCACAGTGCAGCTGTGTTTTCCCCTATGCAACTAGAAATGTAGTCCACTATCTTACTAAGACAACTCAAAACACATGATAAAGATCTGGAAGTCTTAGAGCTCATAGCCATCTCCATCTCTCCACCCATCTTGGTAAAAAAAAAAACAAACAGAAAATGACTGCTAGGCTAACATGCATATGCTAACAGATTTTTATTATTATTTTTAAAAACTCATTTTCAGTGTTAAATAAACTGTGGAAAAAGGATTTGATTCATGGTCGTATTAGGAATCTACTCAACCAAGGCCCCTTGTCACAAATTAAATCATAAACCAAAAGTCAAACATGATTTGTGAAATTAACATTTATCGAGGAAATACTCCCTAGTGCTGCATCGTGATTAGACTCTGGCATCTGAAATATCACCCGTAATTCACGAGCTTCTCTGAAACCATGCCACTACCGTTACTGCTGAGATGGCATGCATGATGGAAAGGTGCTGTCACAACCAGAGAGCAATCCCTTTTTTGATGCTGGTGAGAACTAGAGGTCACTGACTCTTATTATTTGGGAAAGTACATGCAAACACACTTCTCAGCCCCCCCACCACTTGTAACCCTTTGCCCCTCCACAGGCACTCTCTTCCATGTCTTAGTTTCTAATTCGGAACACGGAGGTTTGGCAGATGCTCTGCATTGTGCCCTTTCTTTAAAATAGTGACTAATAAAAAATGAAACGTAATTAACAGTCAGTGGCTCTTTCACAGAATCAGCGTCTTTCAGCAGAGGGATTCAGTGCCTTTGTGGGGAGATGTAGACAGCTCAATCTTACCGGCAGAGGAGCTACAGCGCAGAGAAGACTTAGGGATTGTTAAAGGCTAAACGGTCACTGGCAAAGCACGCTGTGGAGCCCAACATTTTTCAGAAGCCAGGATACCCAGATATAGTTTAAAGATATGGGATGCTTCCCTTGTCAAGGTGATTTTCAGCA